AAGAGGAAGTCACAAAGGAAGCAAAACCAGGGAGCTGGACAGGGGACAGATTGGATTTGTCTTCAGTGTGGAAGAGATTGTAACTCTCGAATTGGCCTCCTCAGCCACACTAGACGCTGTTCCAAGTCCTCCATACAGAGCACGCTACCATAGTCTTTCGAGACTGAAGGATGCCTACTATGTAGTCTCCAGATCCCACAAGAAAAGTAAAAAGTGGAGTCCAAGAGAAGGCATGGCTTTGCCAAAGCCCACGTATCAAGTTAATGGATGCTGAGAGGCTTTAAAAATTTTTTGTAAAATAGAGAAGCGGCAATAAATGCAATTAATAAAACAATCATTTTACATTGAGTTTCTGGGTATCTGGTAACACTTTTGTGTCCTCAGGGTTGTGCTCTTTCATCCTATTTCTGCCTCTTTCCCCCCCTTGGGAATTTATATAAAAATACAGAGGATGCAAAAGCAAATCAAGTAGAATCAGCACAACTTATGAACAGAAAAGAAAATTGCCAGAACCACGACTAATATGACAACATAAAGGATAAAACGCCAAGGGAATTTCTCCCCATCTAGCAGATCCCCTGCAATGTCATAGAAAACATTAGCCAAAGGATTGTGGGGTTCAAAAACACTTTTCAGCTGTCGGATGCTTCTTCTTATCTGAGGGGTGCTGAGAATCGCCTGGCCTTTTGCCCCTGATGTTTTATCAGAAAGGAATGAAATTAAATACATTCTTCAGTACCGCTGTACTGACTCGTTATGTGGACCACATTTGCCTTTGATCCCAGGAGGCCCACAAAATGGGAACATTGCCTCACGGCCTCTTGCAAATCCACAGTCTCCCGATGAAACTTGGCCAATTCATGCTTCACTTTTTCAATTGTTTTAATCTTCAACTCATTTTCCAGGATCATGTTCTCCTGTTCTTTAACCATCTTGGCATACATTTTAACTTCTCTAAAATATTCTTGTTCCTTTTCCTCATGAAGATCAATCATTTTCTTGGCTGATGTTACATTTTCTTCAGCTTTCTTCAGTGCTTTGTGGGCACTGAAAGCCACAATACCACCTAAAAAGAGAGACCAATATTACATGAGGTCTTTTCTCTACACATATACGCAAAGATCTAGTTGTCCGAGCACATTCTGACATGTAGATGAAATTGTTTTATATAAATCAATGCCTGCTGCATCCATAAAACACTGAAATTTATTGACCTAGGGGAATAGGTATAATAAAACGATGACTTTCTGTGGGCTGCAAATATCTGAAAGAGATACCCTTACTTTCTCTGGACCAAGCCAAGCATGTTATCCAAATGCCTGTGTAAAAAAAGAACTGTCTGTACTTTTTTGAAGAACAAATTGTATAGTAATCCTTGCATACCACATTACCAGCAGAAAGCAGCAAAGACTTGAAAGGATTCCTGATGGAGGTAAAAGAAGAAAGAGCAAAAACAAGACTGCCATTGGATGTTAAGACAAAAAGCATGACATTAAATTTTTGCAATTGTTGAAGTTTTTGTATATTTTGGTTCAATCATCGATCCAAATGGAGACTTTAGCCAAGAAATCAGAAGAAGATTAAGAGCTGGAAAGGCAGCAATGAAGGAACCAGAGGAGGAAAATCATGTGTCCTTGGAGACCAAGGCCAAGATAATCAATATAATTGTCTTTCCAAATACTATGCAAAGATGCGAAAGCTGGTCAGCGAAGAAAACCTACTGAGATTATCACTCCAGTTATCTTCCATCTGGATTCATTATTCAGTACAGTGGTGCCTCACTTGACGACGATAATGCGTTCCATTAAAATCGTTGTTAAACGAAATTGTCGTCAAGTGAAATTTAAAAACCCATTGAAATGCATTGAAAACTGTTCAATGCGTTCCAATGGGCGAAATACCTCTTAGTGCAGTAAAGATCCTCCATAGGGTAGCCATTTTCTGGTGCCTGTATAGCGAGAATCCGTCCTTAACACAGCAGGGTACCTTTCTGCACAGTGGACGGCCATTTTGAAACCCGACAATCAGCTGTTTTTAGATCATCGTAATGCGAAGTGTCAGTTCCCAAAGCAGGGAACCGATCGTTGTGAAGTGAATTTTCCCTACAGGAACATTGTTTTGCGATCGCAAAACCCATCGTAAAGCAGATTTGTCTTTTAATGAGGTAATCGTTAAGCAAGGCACCACTGTATCTTACTCACCGTTTCATTATGAGACACTATTTTCAGTAGCTGCAACATGAAGTAAATCTGCCCCCTTCCCTGTATTTCTTTTTCATTATCAGCAGTCAGTAAACCACTTCCTATAAGCACAGCTAGCCCAGAGACATCTGGCTTCTTGAGGTGAAAGGCAAGATGTCATACCGTTCCTCTTCTGTATACAAAAGCAGTGCAGATTTGAAACAAGAGTCTTGCTTCATGGTGGGCTGTGGGACAGCATCCTCCACTGCACCTGAGGGTGGCAGATAGACGCACAGAGTAGCTTGCATGGACTATCCAGTTGTGCCCTGTCACTGCTTCTGGTCTTTCAAACCCTCTCCCAAGAGGGCCAAACCTGCCTGAAAAAGTCTTCGAGTCTCAAAAACCACAAAGGAGGCCAAATGTCTGCAGACACACTGCAGAGTCTGGAAATATAACGGAGAGATGTCAGTTAGGAGAACTGCTAGGTCTTTCTCCATTTCCATCATGGCCATGTCTTCCCGGCCATGCCATTTCCTCCCCATCAAGGCTTAATTCCTTTCATCCTGGAAGCCCATCTTTGAATCCAGCCTCCAGACAGCGGGAAAAATCACTCTTTCCAAGGTGGAGTTTTCGGTCCCCCTCTCTCTTCCTCTTGCCAGTCCACGCTTGCTCTTCATGAATGCTGCTTTGCTCCCCTCCACATGCCCTCCCTCAGACAGAAATGCACACGCTATCCACACATACACCTGTGCAGACGGGCAAGCAGGAGGTGGGTCAGGTGTCCTCCCACAGCCCTTCGCTGTGCATTAAAGGCAGTAGCAGCACCGACTGCTGAGGTGGATTCTTTTCTGTCTCCCTCCCCTTTTTTGCCCCCCTTTCCCCACCATGCACACACATTCCTCTCCCTGCTTTCTTCTC